CCTCTCCTCCTCATCTGACTCTGCTGGCAGCTCTGCTGGCAGCTCTGCTGGCAGCCTACAGGCCACAACTTTGGATGGCTTTGGGCCAGTTATTCTCTCTTAGCCCAACTCAGTTCAAAGGCTGATGTTGTGGGGAAAACAGGAGGAAGGTGAATTGGAAAATATGTTCAACATTTGAGTTATTTGAAAAAATAATAAAAGAGGGATACAAATTAAATAAATAAATAATATAGTAGGTAGATGTAGATATTGATACTGTTATGTACATGACTTTACACATGGTTAAAAAAATGGTAGCATTGCAGTGTTTTCTGTAAATGGAAAGAGAGTTGGATATAGTATAATGAATAAATAATAAATAACATGGAATGGAATATTGCTCATTAGGTGAGTTTCTATTCAGGCCCATCCTTCTCCAGAAGATTCCATTCCATGTCTGCTGAAATGGAGCTTTGTGCAAGAACCTTTTAGAGACTCACTAAATACATTTCAAACATCTCTTCATGTCACTGAACATGTGTGTCCTTGCACAGCTGACATTTGCACAGGATCGACACCAAAGCAAGACACCTTTGAATTATTTTGCACCGTTCTATTATATTACCTTCTAATTTAAAACAAAATCTGTGTATAAATCACTGATAAGCTTTCAATAAACCATTTGACACTATCAAATGTAATTCCTATTAGTATGAATAAAATATTTTTTAAAAAAAAATGAAGTTGGCATTTTAAATCACAGCACACTACTGTGCATCTTCATTTTGAATTTTATATGATGGGTTTGAAGCAGAGAGTAGAAGCAGAGTTTGTAAATAAGAAGTGGAGATTATTATTTTAAAAAAAGCAGTAAGGGTAATTACAGGGAATTATGTTAAAATGTAATTATAACTTCCATGGCAAAATTATTTAAGAGACAGAGGCAAACACAGAAAGTAAGAAGATTCAGAGTGAAGGATTAAACCTCCGATAGTTGAACTCCATAGGGGAGGCTATTAAACCAAAGTAATGTGTCTATCTTTTGGATTTTTAATCCTTAACAACTGTGCTATGCAAACTCATCTACAGTTATTACATAGCTTACACATTAAAAAATGTACATAGAAGTGTTGGATATAAATATGAAGTCATAATCATAATAATCACTATCAACTCCTCTAATATTCAGAAAGTATTCTTCCGTGTTTTAAAAAATTGCAACATAATTTTAAATTAAAATATTGTGGCATTTGATGCACAATGGATAAAAAATACATCCATAATTGTGCATTAAATTCCAAAATATTTTCATTTCCCTTCTTGTGAAATATATCTGTTTTATCAAAAAGGAGATTAGAATCCAAACTAAAGTAATAAAATTTGAAGAACATTTGAAGAATGATGATGACATTTTGATCCATGTATTGTTCAAGGATGTATAAATTAGTTTTGCTCACTTATACAAAGGTGGACAAATTCCCCAATAAACCTTTTTTTTCCAGTGTAATTTTTTTGTTTTTGTTTTTGTATACATTACGTATATTGTCAGTTGATTTCTATTCTGCGTTTTCAGAATCATATTTATGGATATAACATTCAGTTGCACCAGTTCTATGGTTAGCATGATGATAAATTTGGAAATCTGTTACTTTATAATTCGCAGTCGTAAACTCAACTGCCTCTCCCACCCGCAATCTTTTTGAGTTCCTGTTCTAGAATTGTTGAATAATCGCAATCTCTGTCCTTGGTAACAATGGTGCACAAAAAGGTGTTTTGTGATAGAATAGATAAAGCCTATAAGGCCTCTTGAATGAATACTTTCTAGTCCACTGTTTCTTGAAAATGGAGAAAATGTTACTCTTAGGGCAGAACCGAGTAGTTTCATTCTAGACTTAGGTGTTTATTGGCTGGTCTTTCCTCTTTCCTCCTTAATCTCAGTTCTTCAATCGCTACACCACAATACTCTTCATGTTCTTTTTAGGAACAATGACCTAATGTCTTTTTGGCTTGAAATTAGACTATGCTCCATTTTATCTTTCTTCATTTATTCCTTGTATACTCCTCTAGTGACTCTTGCTATTGTGTAGGACACAGGTATCAATCTCAAGGCCTGAAGGCTGAGTCCGGCCCATGGGGCCACTCTGGAAACAGCGGAGGACTGCCTGCGGTGCCTCTGCTAGCGAAAACAGAGGGCAGAGGTTAGCAAAACAAAATAAAAGCAAAACAAAATAAAAGCAA